CCAAAATGTATATATTTAGAAACATGTATTTGACTTTATGTCAAATAGGGGGACTAATGTGGAAATAGGCTGAAATGAACTTATCCATCAAGAAAATGAGAAACAGAACAAAAACAAAAGTGACATAGCCATCCATCCTTATTTATTAAATAACAAGGTGCCCTTGTAAAAAAAATGAGATGCTCAAGGTATTTTGATAACAATCTTTCTCAGAGACTCAGGACTATTTTCTGTTATCTTGGTTTCATCTATATAATAGTACCAAAAGGAGACAAGTTACAATCTGATATTTTTTTTCCAAAACTACTTTGAAGGTGCATTTTTAAAAAATTCTTTCCTTATACATGGGACTGCATCTTTTGATTGTTTTTCATTGCAATGCCATGATACCATTAGTTGAGAATAAGTATTAACACAGACTTGAAATCCAGTATCTAGCATTTAACATAAACTTGTGTAATATTACAGGGCTCCTGTTAGGATGTTAGAAAGTTATAGGATGCAATTATATATACATAGGCTTAATTTTTTTGGCTCTATAATTTAAAAATAAAATATAAGGTTTACTTTGAATTTTAAAACTATTTAAACAATTTAATAAAAATAACATTTTCTTTAATAGTCAGGTTCCATTCAAATTATGAGGAAATTTATGAAACTCGGTCTGTTTAATTGCCTAGCATAAGGTTGTTTGAAATGCAGCCTTTATTTTCCAATAATAGCTGGGGGATGCAACTACTTCTTTGCAGTAGTTACAATGATCTCCAACAGAGCAAAGTTTCTCCCCCCCACGGGCAATATATTTGAAAAATCTGAAAATACTACAGAGGAAATTTATGGTGGCAAAATGGATGAAATACAGATGAACCCTTGATTTACCCATTTACCTTAATCTATTAGTAGTAGAGTGGGGTTAAGGAACAATGCTGCACTATCTTTACTAACAGACTGCTTTATTGATTTTTTTTTTTTTGCAATATTTTTATACTGTATATTCCTGCTGTAAGACTGAGACTACTATTAGAATTGGATGAGACTGTTTGGTCCATCATGTCCAAGTCTATACTCAATGGAAAAATTCAAACTAGAGCACCCCAACAGATGACTGTCCAATCTTCACTGAACACGACTAATAAAGGGTACTCATGACATCTCTTCTTATTTGGTTTTACTATTGCCAAGTCTGCTTTTGTGAAACTCATATCCATTATTTATATCCTGTATACTGGGATGAAAAATGTTTTGGTCTTTTTTCTGAGTATTTATTGGGTGTTTTTATGTATCACTTTAGTTTTCTTTTCTTAAGACCAAAATACCCAATCTGTCCTTGTATAACTTTAGTTTTTCCAGTCCCTTGATATCTCTTTCACGTTTCCTTTAAAAATCTCAAAACATATTATATAAGATTTTCAGATAGTTTTTAATACAAGTAATTTATAGTATGTGGTATGCTCTCGTATGCCAGATCTGCATCTTGTCCAAACATTTACATTACTTCCCATAGCTATATGTCAGGGTGGGAGCGGAGAGTTAAATAATATAACCCTTATTTAAAACCCAAAATATACAGTACATGTACTATCATGCACTTTAAAAAAATCCAAATATTTGGCACTAAAATTGCTGTAGATTTGTCTGAAATTCTGCATGACAATACTCTGCCAAGGCAATGCTAATATATTTGCCAAATGCAACTATACTTGCTATATTTGGATTTTTTTAAACACATGATAGTACACGTACTGTACATTTGGGTTTTAAATAAGTGCACATTTGGTAAATGAAGTCATACTACATACTATAAATTACTTGTATTAAAGTTTACCTGAAAATCCCACATAACAATGTTTTGAGATTTTTAAAGGAAAAGTGAAAGAGATATCAGTGCAGCTATAGTAACATGTTATAAAATTGCAGGCATTTCTGACTTTCTTATCATTGCCTTATATTTCCAAATCCTGGTTTCAGTTTGATTATAAATATCAATATGTGGTATCTGAAAGCGCTCAAGTCAAATCAGGTTATTTTAGAACTGCTGAACAGGGATAAAAAAAATAAATCTTGTGGATAACAAACTTGTCAAACTTCCCATGTGTAAAGAAAGGTAAGAAGTAAATTAGCTACTGGTTCTGCTGAAGTGGTGTGAACCGGCTGAACCCTACCACTGTACATCCCCTGTACATAATACAATGTGTTGAGTTTTCCTCCTCCAGCACATTCATTCTTGTTTGCTACATCCCAAGAATACTGGGAAAAAATTTGCAATAATAAGAATTTATTTCATGTGATGTACCATGATTATTTTCCTCTCAAATGACAGACTGCAGTAGATCTTTAAAAAGATTTGTTTACCTCGTATGATACCATTTTCAAGCCCTGAAACTGCAGTGATCTACTGACCTCTAGTTGAGAAAAGCAAGATCACCATTTAACTCAGTTTTTTTCTTCTAAAATATATTTTTCTCCAACATAGTTTCAACGATTTCCACTCAGTGCAGGTATAAAAACAGCATTCATGTGTATTCTGTTTTCAAACCACTTTAAATGAACATGAAAAACAACATTCTAATGGTATCTTTTAGCAGTTTCACTGGTCTGTATTACCTGGGGAGCCGAGTAACAATTTAAACATGAAAACCTGGCAGTTTGAAACAGCAGGTGTTACATAAACTTATATTTACATTGCTTCCAGTGGAAAGTGTGCAACTGAAGTTCAGCCAAAACAGTATCAGTTATCTCTCCCTCTCTCTCCCTCCCTCTCTCCCCCCCTCTATCATCTATAGCAACAGTATAGCTATCTATCATCTATATCTATACACACTCACACACTCACATGTACATACATATACATACAGCGGTTCATACATAAACACATGCAAATTGCACACATGTATTCACATGTGTGTTTTATCTCTATGCCTCCTTAATCTCTACCTTGCACTGCTTCTTTTTGAAGAATGAATGGCTCCCTCAACTAAGGGCTACTTCACTGAGCTTTGGGTGCTCACAGAGATCTGTGAACTTGGATGGGGAAAAAAATCACAACTTAATTTTCACTAACCTCTAATTGAAATTTAGCTTTTTATTCAATAACATATGTAGACAAGATAATTGATCGCCTCTAGACTGTAACATTGTTTTTGACTTAATAAATCTCTAAAATTATTATAGAATTGTAATTATATCTAAAATTATTATATCCTAAAATATTGTCTGGTTATTAATAAAGTACCACATATATTATATATTTGTTATTTTTAAATATTTTGATAACTGTATTGGATAATAACTGATTTCAGTATGTATCTATGTATTTTATTATATGCATTTAAATTCATTTTTTCCTGAGAAAGTGCTCATAGGTATGACCAGACTCCAAAAAAACAAAAAACAAAAATCCAACTCTAATGTAGCATAAGGAGACACAGAGACAAACCTGTCCAGGCTTTCAAAATTCTGTTATTCTAATTTACTACAATCAGAAGCATTCTTGGTATCCCTGCTGTGCTTTCTTGTTTCCTGACCTTGAGCAGCTTTTAATGAGTAGGACAGTGTCAATGCTTTTTTAAAAAACAGATGCTTTGAATTATATTTTTTTAAAAATAATGTTATGTTCTTTGAGATATACTGGTACAGAAAACAGCAAAGCACCAGCTTCTTACATTACCTTTATTTACAAAAATTCCTCTGGGTCTCACAACCATGTAAGCAATCTTTCAGCAGAAGAATGAAGAGGTCATCAGAGTTCATTACGTCATTTAGAATGTGTCCAGGTGTTTACAAAAAGGGCAAAGAGATTGTGGACATTAAAGGAAAATATATCACACTGACAAGAAAAGTAGGTATTGTCGATGCCATGGTTTTCTTAGTTATTAGACATGGCTATGAAAGCTGGATCATCAGAAAGGCTAAACAAAGAAAAATTGATTTCTGTGAATAGTAGGCTGGAAAAGAAGACAGTTGAAAATACCTTGGACTACAAGAAGAACAAATAATTCAGTACTAGATGAAATAAAACAAGAGCGTTCACTGCAAGAATTAAAAATAAAATGTAATATTTTGGAAACAAAATGTGGTAAAAATCACTGAAGAAGAACCTAATACTTAAAAAAAAAGAAAACAATGAAGAAAGAGGCTGATGGAAGGCAAAGTATATAACTGAAAATAAACACCAAAAGTTATAAGAACTCAAGTAGTTACTGACACTTGTAATGAAATTATGTCCACTAGATCACAAAGTGTTCAAAGCTCCTAAACTATTAAGCAAAAATCTAAGGTTCGGAGGGAAAAACTTAGAGAAACTAGGAGAAGAGGCATGAAATAATTTTTCGTTTGTCATGCGGCATTTGGATCACACCCATTTTGTGAGTCATCTATTCACTAGCTCAAAAATATTGGTGACTTCTGACCTGAGAAGTTGGGACTACATTAGGAGGTGAATGGTTTTTTTAACTGCTTTTAATGAATCTTCATGACTGAATTATGTTATTTGCTTAATTTGTGATTTCATTGGGTATGCCACTCAGAGTCACATGTGAATGAGATGGCTGGCTATATAAGTTCAATAAGTAAATAAAAAATAAATAAAATACAAATTATTTCATATTATATGAATTCTTCCAGATGATGTGTGAATAGTTTGAGAAATATTTTTCAAACCATTATATACATTATTTACTTCAGTATATATGTTTATGTTCTGACCACTATTTTATTACATTGAAAAGAAAATTTTAGTAAAGGTTTTTCATTTAGCAGTCTTTATTATTCATTTAAATTTGACACTTTACACATATTAATATTAAAATATGAGCAAATGTCAGTATATTTATATTAATTTTTATTTTGCATTGACCTTTAACCATGAAACTTCAACATGCACATCCCATAAAACCACACAGCATACATTAACCTGCAGCTTACTAGCTTGGAGAATGTCAGGGTTGAAAAATGCTACATCAATGCCTGCTGTATATTCCAAATATCAACCACCTTGTTACCTTATCTTTTTTTTGCTTTTCATCCTGATATATGGTCCAGTATTTGCCATCATTGCTATAGGCGAGTTTATAGGAACCCACAAACTGAACGTGACCAAAATCTTTAGCTCCTTGAGTAATAATGCCAGTGACTTTTGTAGGGACAAGAAGATCAATCTATAAAGCGAAATAAAACATAGGTTAGAATAACTTGAGTTCCCAGACCTTTTTTTAAAAAAAACTTAAAATGTATTGCTTACTTTATCAGATTATGAAAGAACTGACTGATATAAGTAAACGAAATGTGTTAATAATTTCAGTTAATGGAATGAATACCTTTTCTTTCCCAAATCAATTTTTCCCCTTCACATAAATAGTGAAGAGGAAATACTTAACAAAAAAAATTATTATGCAAGATGGATAAAATTTTAATATAAAACAGGTAAAAATTCAATTACTTCTATTTCCTGGATACAAAATGGGGAAAAAAAATCTTTCAAGTTGCATTTTTGATCCATTTCCTTTAATAGTTGTTTGCATTTTTGCCATGCTGTTTTCTATATAAACATTTTACAATCTTTTTGAAATTAATTCTTACAAAAGGAATTAGTATTTTAAATATTAACATTATTGCAAGATTTTGCCTATGAAGGCTAGTGATCTAAAACCACCTTTTCCAAGGACCTTTGTGTCTTCACATTCTTGCCCAGCCTATTGCTTTGATTTGTAACTTGGTAGTTCCGACTGCTACCATATAAATTGCAGGGGGTGCCTCACCTGGTACATCCCTTTAAACCTGGTGTATTAAAAAAAAATGAGTCTCTTGTACCATATGCTGTTTTTCTAATGATTAAAATGAAAAGAATGAAATATAGCAGTATTTCCTGATTATGCAGCTAGTAGTTTCAGTGTTTCTTTGGAGGTAGATAAATCGCACAAGATATAAAAAAACAAAATTTATATTTTGAAAAGGAAAATAAAAATTGTAATAACACTTTTAATTTTAGATATCAAAATGTCAACAATCCCTTTGAAGAAGGAAGATATGGAACTATTCAAAATCAAAGGAAAACACCAGTTTTATTGAGAAATTTTAAAAAAAGTGTTCCAAGCAGAATAAAATATGATACCGACCATGATGTAAATAGATTTAAATAGCATTTTCATTTATTATTTAAAATCATAACTACTAAAGAAAATTATTTACTTGTGCATAACCTGAAATATTCATTCAATATTGAGTTTATGTGAAGAAATAAAAGATGGGAAACTCAGAGCAAACCCCACTTTCTTCTGGCATTGATGATGTTACCTAGTTTGATAGTGAAACATCTACAAGAAAAAAAAAACAAGCTCAGAAAGCACCAAGGACCCCACAGAAGACTTGCTTACCACAGAGAAATAAATATCAAAATACAGAATAATAGAGTTAGAAGGGAGCTTGGAAGTGTTCTGGTCTAACCCCTTGCTCAAGCAGGAGACCCTATATCATTCTGGACAAATGGCTGTCCAATCTCTTCTTAGAAGCCTCCAGTGATGGGGCATCCATAACTTCTAGAGGCAAGCCATTCCACTGATTAATTGATAGGAATTTTTTCCTTAATTCTAGATTGGATCTCTGTTTGATAAACTTCCATTTATTACTTCTTGCCCTGTCCTCAGATGCTTTGGAGAATAGGTCTACCCCCTGCTCTCTATGACAGCCCTCAAGTATTGGAAAATTTTTATCTTATCACCCCTAGTTCTTCTTTTCATTAGACTAGACATACTCAGTTGCTACAACCATTCATTATATGCTTTAGCCTCCTGTCCCCTACTCAAATTTGGTGCTTCTCTGCACCATTTCTAGAGTCTTAGCATCTTTTTTTTTTTTTGCATCTCACTGGTGCAGTATAAAGTGGTACTATCACTTTATGTGATCTTGTTGCTATCTCTCTGTTGATGCAGCCTAGGATTACATTGGTTTTTTTGATAGCTCTAGCACACTGCTGGCTCATAACTGATTATCCTGTAGGACTCCTAGATCTCTCTCAGTTTTTAATGTAAATTTATTTCTAAACTCACAACTTATTTCTTCAGAATTAGTATGTGAAGTTTCTGTTCCTTTTTAAAATTTTACTTGGACTTTTTAAAAATAGAAATTCCAAATTCTGTTATCCCCCCCTTTTCTCAGTCTCAGCCCAGCAGTTTGCCTTGTTTTTAAAAAGACAAAATAGTGTCTGTCTCCCAAATAGAGAAAGGAGTTAAGATATTGCTTCCATCCATGTGACAGAGAATTGTCTCTCATAAAATTTGTACTGGGAAAGTTTGCAGTTTGAAAGCAGATTGACATTCTTAACAGATTTGTTTGTCAAGAGAACGTTAAGCAAAACTGCAGGATATTTTCCCATTACTGAGTACAAATCTAGCAATTCTGGTTATTACCAATTCTATCAGGACATCAGAAAAAAAAGTTAATAAGTTTCTTAATATTCCCTACAGTTTTAATGAGAGGTTGATCAATTTAAATAACTGTACTTCATACATATGCAATTCACAATAATTAGTGCTGTTTATAAACCATTAAATGATAGGAAAACAATCTGGCCTTATCTCTTCCTGTCTGAGTCCTTTGTAAATAAAATATTCTCATTTAAACTACAGTATAATTATTTTCAATTTTCAAATTAATTGTTGCTTGTTTTAATTAAATGTAGTCATTTTATGTAGTATAGGTGCCCAGTTTCTAATTATTATAAATAAGCAAATAAATTCATGTGTGTTTCCTTAGTCTTACAGTTCACTTAATTGTAAATGTCTCTAAACAGTGTTTGCTAATAAATAATATTCTTAGTTATAAACAATGCCTATTTCAGGATGTGAAGCTCTCTATCAAACTGCAAAGTCTTCCTGAAAAGCAAAGTTTAGTTCCTGATTAACAGCAATACTGATGCTGAACTGAACTCAATTAGAGGGCTATGATAAAAAAGAGAGGGGTAGCGATGGCAGAGGTATACTCTTGTGGTCCCCAGTCATAAAACCTCCTCAGAGATGAGTTTGATGGGTTCTTACTGGATAAGCAGAAATTGCTGGGAAAAGGTGGCTCCACAGAAATCCATGTAGACCTTTAAAGAAGACAACCCACTCTTTGAATTATACCTGACAACCAGTGCAATTTTTTAATAGTGCTAGTGTCCAAAAGAAATCCAAATTTATTTAGTGCAGCAAGCATGTATTCTTTGTGTATTTTGTTAAATGGTGTTTCAACATCTAATGAGAAAATTACAAATTTAACTTTATACTTATTCTAGTCCTTTAAATTTACAACTAATCTAATATTATCTGCTGTTTGCCTACTTTTTATTAGTCCTCCTGGACCATTCTTAATAACAAATGTTATCATTTGCTGTAATCCATTGCTAATACTGCTGTTAAAATCTCTGCATCAATATTAATAAATGAGATTGGATGATAATAAGCACATTTGGTGTGATCTTTACTTGCTTTCAGAATAACTTTAGTGTAGGTCTCATTGGTGATAAAATTCCCTTATCAAATATCTCTTTTTATAGGTGGCAAAGTTTTTGCACCAAAAGATCTATAAAAGTTTTATAAAACTCAATAGGGAGCCCATCTAAACCTGGTGTTTTACCACTTGCTGTTTTAAAAATTATTTGCTTAATCTTTGCCTCAAATAGTGAAGTAAATAAAAGTTATTTTTGTATTTTATCTAAAAGCAGTAGATTTATTTTATTTAAAAAGGGTTCTATATCTTCATTTGATACATTTTCTGATTTACTAAATACTTCTGAATACAATTTTAAAAGTTGACAGTTTATATCCATTGATGTTTTATACATTTTATCTCCTTCATTTTAAATAATTGGAATCATTGTCCTATTGTTCTTTCATTTACAATTATTAGCCAAGGTCTTACCAGGACTTTTGCTATTTTAACAGTACCTTTGTTGTGTATGTTAGCATGAAATCTGTCTGCTGAGATATTATAGTAGGTTAATTCATATCTTTTTTTTCTGTGTTTTTCTGTACAAACTTGTAGATGGGCATATAACCATCTGTGCCCATTAATGTTTCTGTTTATCTTTCAAGGTTTTTCTCTTTTATTTTTAGTCTTATTTTATATGTTGAGTAAGCATTAATTTTACATTGAACATGTGCTTTATATCATTCCCACTCAAAGATTTCACCATTCAATGTTTCTGAATTCAAACAAAAGATTGAGAGGTCTCTACCTGCATTTGTTGTATCATATTCTTTATCATTCAATAGGGAGACATTAAAATACCAATTTCTCAAGATCTTAGCCTGTTTATGAAACACATAATCCATAGTAATTGAACTATGATCAGATATATAACAAAGATCAATATTACATTGTTGAATTTGGTGATATAACATCAATGATATTAAAAAAATAATCAAGCTTATTTCCTCTTAGTACACACTCAAATGCTTATTCTCTTTTATAAAGTCAGAGTCCTAAACACACAACATTACTCTAATTTAACATATATATCCTCCTCTGCTTAAGACAGATAAAGTACTCAAAAGAACAAAGGAGAAGGAAGAGGAGAAAACTAGAGAGCAAAAGGAAGAGCTGTCATAAGACAGGCACACAATCTTCCATTTCCTTCAAGTTTTCTGCTCTTGGCATGTGACACTCATGTCATTAACCTTGAAAGGGTATGGCCCTTAGCAGAGAAAAGTTACCCAACTTGCTTTAGATAACACATGGGATTTGTTCTTCTAAAAAGCTAAAGCAGCTGCTATTAGAATGTTGAAAGCTTTTCAATTTTTAAAATCCCTTAAATATTAATTAAGAGCTTCTTGTTCTGAATTTAAACAAGAAGCACTTTGAATGTCATGGCTTCATTAATGTCACTTATATTGCTATTAAAATTATTAGCAAAAAGTTTTCCCTATGCCGTTAGGTTGAAAAATATTGCTACATTAAAGCAATACCTTTATGATGCAAATAGGTTTATTAGGCTAACTCAGAAGTCTTTATTGAAGTGAGGGTTTAACTTGAATGATTTTTGATAGAAAACAAAATAAACTCCATATAAAGTCCCTTAGGGAGAAAATTATGTTTGTGTGATGGAATGAAAATTGTTAGAATGAAAACTAGTAAATTACAGCACTTTTATATTTTATTATAAATCTATTCCAACTTTTCA